GGCTCTAGGGAAAACCAAGGGAGCTGGGGTGTGCCACGCGCTTAGATGGGGTGGGCGGAACAGCCCTGGAGGCATGGCTGCTCTTCCTGCATCAGAGGCCGCTCCCACCTGGGCCCTGGCTCGCTCCTTGGCTGAGTCTGCGCCCTCTTATCACCCCCAGAACAGCCCTGGGATGGAGGCCCTGACGCATGCACACGGTCCCGGGAGGGGAGGGGCAGGCTTGGACAGCTGTCATCCTGCAGGGTCTGGGAGTGGGGAGCCACACCCCAAGTCGGGCCTCCCCAACTTGCCATCGTGCAGTAACAGTAATGGAGGCCTCGCCGCCATGACCTCAGGAGAGCTTTCCTCGGCATGCCATCACTTCCCTGGGTCCCTCGCCCCACTGTGAACAGCCCGTTGGCACGGGGGTGAATGGTGGCCCCGCAGGGCTTCCGAGATTCTGCAGATGGGGTTTTTCTCTGCTGCCCATCTGAGAACTCGGTCTCCGCTGTCCCCCAGGCTGTGTCCTCATTGTAGAAGGAGGACAGGCTGCACACGGCTATTTCCAGAGCTCTTCCTGAGCCTCGTGGTCCGTCTCGGGGAGAGGCTGCCAGCTGGCTTGGGAGTGGGGCCCTTGGCCTGCCCTCCCCACCCCCCCACCGCGGGCCCATCTCCGGTCCTCCTGGGCCTCTGAGCCTGCGCCGCCTCACTGCCGCCTCTCTTCTTCCGCAGACCCTGATGACCAGTACAAGCTCACGGAGGACACCCGGCAACTGGGCCTGGTGGTGTGCAGGGGCACCTCCGTGGTGCTCATCTGCCCGCAGGACGGCATGGAGGCCATCCCCAACCCCTTCATCCAGCAGCAAGACGCCTAGCAGCCGGGGCCGCCCCTCCCCCAGGACTTGGGCCACCCGTAGGAACGGAACTTTCCTTTTTGTATAGCTTATGTTTTTGTTTTCTTTATAAAATTGCAAATCTCAAGTGTCCAGGAGCCCTGGACTCTGGCTTTCAGCCTTGGTGTTCTGGCAAGACCTGGGCCCCAGGGATGCGGTCCATCCAGCAGAGTTTGCGCGCCGTCTGGGGTCCAGGGCTGGGGGGCTTGGAGGTGACTGAGCGTGCACGGTCCAGGTGAGGGCACGGGACATAGAGGCCAGAGCCTTTGCAGAGCCCCCCTGGGGCCACAGTCCATGCAGACCCCCCAGCCAGCCTTCTCAGCGGCAGGCCCTGTCACTTCAGTGCCTCTGTACGCCGGCCCAAGTGGTCCCCCAAAGCCGGGTCCTTCTGTGTCACATCCCCGCACAGCCGTGACCTCACGAAGAACAAACTGGATGGAGCCTTGCTGTCTGCCCTGTCCCATGACCTCCTAGCCCAACCTGCTTCCCGCCTCAGCTCAGAGGACGAGCCCACCCCTGCCCCTCAGCTGGCAACTCCGTGGGCCATGATCATGAATGTCCCCATGCCCGCCCTCAGGAAGCAGGGCTTTCTCCTGGCCCCATTTCCTAAACCCAGTGTCCTCGTTAGGACCCTACCTCCATGGCACCGTCTGCTGAGAGCAGGCATGTGTCTGCTATTTGTCACTCAGGAGTGCTGAGCATGTGAGGACGAGCGGGGCCAGAAGTGAGTGGGAGTTGTCCTGGCGGGAACTGTAGACCAGGGCCCCTCCACCAACGGCTGGCGGCACACAGGAACCCACCGCACAAGGGGACCCAGCTGGATGGCCCCCACGCTACCTGTCCATCGTTGCCACCAGATAAACTGAAAGCAGCTGGCTTATCGCGGGGATCTGAGCTCTGCTGTGGCCCTGCTGCCGGGGATTAGTCGTGGGGCCGCATAGCCAAGCCCCGCATGCTCATCCCTCCTGCCCCACTTCCCTGCCAGCTGGCGGCCCTGCCTCATCCAGCTCCCTCATCAGAGGCCTCAGCCCCAGCAGCTGGGCAGCGGGGGGGCCTGGGCTAGCTGGGGTCACAGCCCCGGGGAAGGCTGTGACAGAGAACTTGGGCGCACCCAAACTGCCAACATCCAACCCGATGCGTCCTGCTCTGGGGGGCAATCCCCGTGCCCATTCAACAGCCAGGGGACCGCGACTCCGGCAGGGGGGGACACACGGTGGAGGGACCGAGAACCTGGGCACCAGTGCCTCTGTTCTCTCCACACACCCAGCCTGCCCTATCTGAGGCTGAGACACAAAGGCTGAGACCCAGATCTCGAGGTCAGAAGGCCCAGGGGTCCGGACCCCAGGGTGGGGTGGGATGAGGGAGCAGTGAGGCCTGGAGGCTAATCAGACCTTGTTAGAGCGCCGGGGCAGCCGGGGGCCAGGACAGATGCACAAGGACACCTGGCTTTCCAGCTCCCAGCTTTGGTTGCACAGAAAGCAAGGCTTGTCTCGGGAGCCTCTCTGCTCCATCATTACAGCCCTCAAAGGCTTCAGACCACTCTCCACCCACCCCTCACCTCCCAGCCGATGAGCGCAAAAGTTCTCTGTGACCACAAAGTCTGGGGCCCCAATCTCCTTCCACCACTTGCTGTGTGGCTGAGGGTAAGTGTCCCAACTTCTCTGAGGTCCCATTCCTTCTCTCTTAAGCTCGGAAAAAGTCATTCAGTATCCACTCTGTGGCCCGGCGCTGGGCTGCTGTTGGACGGGGAGTTGGTTAAGAGCACAGATCTTTGTGTTCAAGTCTGAGGCTGAGAACAAGATGCTCCGGGGGCCCAAGAGAGGGAGACTCTGACCTCCTGGGGGCTCAGGCAGAACTCCCCAGAAAGGGGGATAAGATGAGCTTGTTCCACTGAACCGTATCCACCCTAGAGAGTCACTATGACCTCGTTTGTAAAAGACCGTAAATAACCTAGCTGCCCATCACTGGGGGATCTGCTGGAGAAACTCAGGTTCCTCTGGCCAAATGTCAATACAAAGCAACTTTTCACAGAGAGGTAGATACATCTCTTTGTGCAGCCACTAATTCCCTGCAGCTTCCCTCGCAGGAGTCTGTTTCTCCACCCCTTGGAATCTGGGGACTGGGTTTAATGGTAAGAATACGGCAGGAGTGACGTGGCATTCAGAGCTTAGTTTGCCAAGGAGCCCTGCGGCTCCTACCTTTGTCCTCTTGGAACACTGCCCAGAGGTGGCTGTGTGTCTGGGGCCTCCTGAGTTAGCCCAGGTGACACTGAGCCCAGCAGAGGAACTTTGCTGCCAACCCACAGAATCATGAGGAATAATAAATTTTTATGCCCCTACGTTGGGGGATGTTTGTTACGCAGTGACAGGTCTCTGAGACTTGCTGACGTACAAGTGTAGCACGTGCGTGGTGTAACACCATTTCTTTAAGATGATCCTTATTAAGAAGATCTTGTTTCTATGCTTTTAAATATATTGAGAAGGATCTAGAAAGATCCTGCTGACCCAGGATTGAAGATGGTGATGAAAGGGGGATGTTAGCCTATCCTTAACATTTTAATATTTCATGAGGAGAAATTATTTAATCTTTTACAGAGTGTTATATTGAAATTTTAATATTTTACAAGGAACCTGAGAAAGAGAAGACCAGAGGCAGATAGGGAGACGCAGGGCAAGACTGAGGGAGACTAGGAAAGGCAGACACAGAGGCGGAGACTAGAGAAGGAAGAGGGAGAAATGAGCCGGTGACACTGATCCCGCCCCCTCTGCCCCCTGGCCCCCGTATAAACCCCTGGCATCCCCAGCCGGCCAGCCAGCCAGCCCACCATGCCGTCCGGAGGCTCCCTGCTGTCCCCTACCCAGTTCCCACCCTTTCAGCTCCCTGCCCACGGTCAGCGCGGGCCTTGGAACACCGGGCGGGGGCTGCGGCCATCAGACGGGGGGGGCCGGTCCTGCTCCACGTGCCCACGGTCACCACAGCCCACAGCTTCCAGGTGCTGTCTGCCGAGGCCCCACTCTGGGGCCCAGACCAGGATCCCACCCCACGGCAGATTCCAGAGTCTTCTGAAGGGGGACAGGATCTTGACACTGCTGACGGTCAGCCCTGCGCCTCCCCACAGCTGCCTTGTCCCCAGAACAGCTTTAGCAACAGGCTGGGCTGACGTACACCTTCTGGATCACTCAGCCCCCCACCCCAAACCCTTTCCTTATCCCCATCCACAGATGAGGACGCTAAGGCCCAGAGAGGCTGAGCAACGTGTACTGGGTCACACAGCTGGGATCCTAACTCAGGGGGCGGGCTGCCCCCCACATCCCTCCTGTGCTCTGAAGGCTGTCTCGTGGGTGAGAAACAGGCCAAAGCTAAAGGGGTGGGAAGCAAACAGGGAACAGCTTCCCCCGTTCTCATGACCAGGTCTGGTCCTGCCACCCACAGACCTGGGGAGCCCTCATCTCCACCCTGGAGCACCAGTGGTGCCGCAGAGCTCTGCAGCCCCCCATGGCTGGCCAGTGAGGCAGGAGAGGAATCCAGTTCCGCCTGGACTCAGACGCGGACGTGGATGTAAAAGGAAGAAGCTTTTGTTGACTTTGCAAACGGGGTGGGGGGAGGGGTCTTGGATGCCTGGGGCTGTTGGACTGTGACGCCCCGGGGGTCGGGCCCTCCTGCTTCCTCCCCAGCTCCAAGCCCGAAGCCCTCACTGTCCGCAGGAATAGTGCCTCCCACCCCCGCCCCACCCCGCCCCATCCACTCCATCAGACCGAGAGCATCTTGGCTCTGATGTGCAATAAATGTCCTCTGCTGAAAAGCGCCATGTCTTTTCATGCTCTCTGCCTGTGTTCAGGGCCCAGGTCAGCTCCTTGACCCACCCCGTCCTGTCCCCAAGCCATGCTGACTGGAACCTGCAGGGGTCAGGACTCACCCAGGAATGAAGAGCCCAGAGGGAAAACAACATTCCTGGCTGAGGGGGCTGACCAGGAGCCTGGGATCCAGGCAGATATGCCTTTGGGCCCCACCCTGTCGCTAATTTCTGAGTTCTCTTTCCCCACCTCTGCGCCGCCCCCCCCACCCCGTCTCCCCCAAAGCACCAGATCCACACCCACTGCGTGTCTTAGAGGAACCTCAAATTAATGTGCCCCAAGATGATGCTCCCCCTTCCGCCTGCCACCTCCCCAGCTTTCCTCATCCCAGGATACATCCCCACAAGTCCCCCGCTTGCCCAGGCTCCAAACCTTGGGGTCACCCTTGACCACCCCCCCCATGCATCCCATCCGTCAGCAAGTACTGACAACTGTACCTCAGAACTTATCCCGAAGCTTTTAAGGGACAAATAACACCAATCCAACCTCAGACACCAGAGGAGGAAGGAATATTCCCCACCTGTTATATGAGGGCAGTGTAAGCCCTCATATAACATATAACAGGTTATATTGACATATAACCTGTCAAAAACATTGCAGAAAAAGAAAACCACAGACCAATATCCCTCACGAATACAGATGCAAGGACCCCTCACCAAACATCACCAGATTGGATCCAAAGGATTGCACATCGTGACCACCAGGTGGTCGTGGCCAGGATTGCAAGGTTGGTTTAACACTGGAAAATCCATCCATGTGATTCACCACATCGACAGAATAACAGAGAAGAAAACCCATGACCATGTCATAGCTGCAGAAGAGGCATCTGACAAAATTCAACACCCATTCAGGTTAAAATCGTGGAAACTAGAAATAGAAGGGAATTTCCTCAACCTGATAAAGGCCATCCGTGAAAAAACTGACAGCTAACATCACCGTAAATGGTGAAAAAACGAACGCTTTCCCCATAAGACCTGGCAAGGCTGGCAACGCAAGGACACCCACGGTCACCTTGGACATTGTACTTGAGAGCCTGAACGGCGAGATAGGACAGGAAAACAAAATCAATGGTAAGTGTTAGGAAAGAAGAACTAAGATGGGCCCTATTTGCGAAATCTGAAGCCGCTTGCTGCTGCAAGGTTTACTTGCTGAATTACAATTACCTGCTGAAAATAGCTGCTGTGATTCAGGCCCCAGCACCCCTCAGCTGGATCAGAATGGTACCTGCCCCAAGGCTGGAGCAC